CCTCCCAGGCTGAGGCTGAACCAGGCTGTGTGAGAGGCATCCAGTCACATGGCTGTGGGGCTGGGCTGTGGCAGCTGATAGATCTCATCCAAGTGATTATGGCTAATTGTTGGGACCTTGTATCCAGCACATGGAAACTCCCAGAAGACTCAGGGAGTGAGCAGCCTGTCCGGGAAGGAGAGTGATCCCCAGATAGTGGAGCAGTGTCTCACATGGAAGAGGCTCCCACAGTGCAGGCACCAGATGGGGCGAGCTTCCTGCCCACCCAGCAAATGCCAGTGAGCACCTACTGTGTGCCCCCTGCACTGTGCCCTGGAGCAAAGTACTTAACCCCTTTGGGCCTTGGTTTCTTCATAAGTAAAATGAAGATAACAGTCAAACCTCCTCGTGGTGTCATGAATAGAGTTGCTGCATATTAGGTGCTTTACACAGAGCTGGCACGGGCCCTACCCTGTGTTCTGTGAGTACCTCTCAGTCCTGCTGGGAACAGCCTCAGCCATGTGCCAGCTGGACTTGCTGCCTCCATGAGTCACCTCTTTAGGAAGGCCTTCTGGCCCTGCACTGGAGTGGGGCCCCTCTCTGCCCCCCCACCCCTGGGTTTCCCCTCCCATCCTTACCCCTCTGGTGTTATGGGGCCTGCTGGATCCTCTGCCTGCATGTCCATCTGCCTCCCTCTGCCCAGGGCTCCACAGGGCCAGTGTGCCCATAGCTTCTAGGGTTTATCCCAGTGCCTTCTCCCCCAGGGGCCTTTGTTCAGTCTCTGTCATTGCCCCTTCCTTCCCAGCCCCTGTCCTTCTCTTTGTTCATAATGTCCTCCTGGGACTTGAGCTGGCGGTGTGGTCCTGCGCCCTGCCTGCCCCGTCCTTGCCACCTTCCGCTTCTCGTTGGCACCAGTCCCGCTGCACTTAATCTCCTTTCCTCCCGTCTCCCTCTGTCTCCCGGTCTGTCTCTTTCCCTTTCTTTCACGTACGCTTTATTGAGCCAAGATCCTTAACCATTACCTCCAAAACTGCATTCTATTTTTATAAGTTCATGAAGGACTGTGCCTTTCTCTAAAACTCCCTGTGGCTGAGTTGACCTCAGGGATCCTGCTCCCTGGAGGTGCTGCCTCCACTTCTTTGGTGACCCGGTCACCGTGTAGCCTCCCTGAGCCTGTTTCCTCATCTGGTGAAGGGGTGATGCGAGCCACTGTGAGGGTCCGTTCAGAGGACCAGGAATACTCTCAATAAATGGGCCCTGGGATAGCGAGATGGGGGAGGGGTTGTTTGTGTGTTTTGTTTTCTGTTTATTTCAGACAGGGGAGGGGAGGGCAATAGGAGGGCCGGGGCGTCTGTGTACATAGGTGTGGGGGCTGATGGCCTCACTGTGACCTCAGATGGCTCCCTCTATAATGCTTTAATTCTTTCTGCCTTGGACCCAGTTCTCTTGAGTGGTCACACTTGAGCCCTGTGGCCCCCAGTGCCCAGCCTGCCCCCTGGAGCCTGGTATAGGAGAGTGAGTGTGGCATCAGGGGCTCAGCCAGCCTGCTCTGTGGCTCTGGGCTGCTCACTTTCCCTCTCTGAGCCCCCTGTTTTCTTCTCCATTTTATGAGAAAAAATAGATCAGATAAAGTCAGATCTGAACCCTAAGGCCACAGCCCAGGATGGGGCTACTGAGCAGTCACTCAGAGTTTCATGTGCTTTCTCCTTCCAGCACCACCGCCTCGCCACCCCCGCTGCCCCTCCAGCCCACACACAGCTCCGGGACTGCCGGGTCCCCCTTCCAGCTCTCCAACCAGCTCCAGCAGCAGGAAGAGCCGGGGTCCGCCACCAGCTCAGCGCCTGCCCGCTCGCCACCGGCCCTGGGCCTCCTCCCTGCCGTCGTCGCTGCCAGCTTCGCAGCCCCCTTCCTGCTGCACACCCCCGGGCCCTCCTGACCTCGACTGCCCATGCAGAGAAGCCAGAGAAACCGTAGGAGGGTCTGTGGCCACACCGCACTGCCCCTGCCACCACCCCCAGGGGTGCCTGACACCTCGGGGGCAGTCCAGACGGGATCCGTTAGAACACTAGAGCTTTATTGTACCCGAGTTACATCTTCTTTTTTGTAGAAGGATCTTAATTTCCCATAGTGCTATGGGGCTCTTTTGTAAAATACGTGTCCATATTAAAAAAGAAAAATGTATTTATTCCATCGATAAAACTATTTTTATGTGACCTATGTTAATAACCCCTTAATTAGCCCCAACGCCAACCCAGGAGGTGAACCCAGGCTGCCAGGACATCTGCAACCTCATGCGGACCGTGGCTGTGGACTGGCTTGCTCCTAGACCAGCAGAAGCCTCCAGTGTCTGGGTTTGGCTTCTCCCACCATGGGGACCTCAGAGGGAGGGGCAAGCAGACAGGCTTAGCTTTTGTGAAGCTGGATTTGGGAGCCAGAGATGTGAATGCTGACGGTCCTTCCCTCCCCTGGATACATCCTAGGGCTGGAAAGATACTTTTGGAAAGAGAATGCTGCTATTTTGTAAACCCTGGGTGTCTGTGAACCAGCCTCCGGAGCTCTTGGTAAGTGTTTTGACCAAAGCACTGGGTGGAGGAGGAATGTTGGTGCTGAGGGAGGTGGTTTCCCAGCCCCATGTGCCTGATGATTAAAGTGAGATCCAAAGAGAGGAATGTGGTTGCCCAAGGTCACACAGCAAGTGAGAGATCCGGGATATGAATCCAGACCTCTCTGTCCTGATAGCATTAATCCAGCTTGGGTTACAGGAGATGCTACTAAAGTCACGGCCAAATGGAATGAGCTGCGTAAAAGACAGGAATGGGCACAGAAGGGCAGTTTTAGGGACAGGGGCTCTAGGAGTCACATGGTAATAATAATCGTAATGAGAGCCACCATTTGTCCAAAGCCTGCTCTGTGGCAGGCACTTTGCACACTCACTTTATCACTGATCCTCACCCCAGTTCTATGAGATGTAATTATCCCATTTCACAGATGAGGAAACTGAGTCGCCAAAAGAGGTAAAGGGACTTGCTCAAGGTCACCCAACCAGGACTGACCCCAGATCAATGTGATTCAAAAACCATGCTTATCCCCTGGTTCATATTCTGCCGTGTTCTCTCTACATAGGAAAGCTAGGGAGGCAGGTCTCACCCAGATGAGCCAGCACAAGCTTCTTACTCCTGCCAAAGAGACTGTTTGGCCACAGTTACTCATGTTGGTCACTCTTGCCAAAGGGCTCTTTGTGTGTGCCACGCGTCCCGTGCCCCGACTTGTCTTATCTTGAAGCCAATGAAAGGCTTTTCTGCCAAATCAGAGGCTAGGGAGCGGGGGGCAGCTGTGGGAATCGCGGGGAAGCAGGCAGGCAGCCAAATGGGGCAGTCAGGCCACTGTAACTAAGAGAGGCGGACCTAGCTCCTCTGCCCACAGGGCAGTGGCCAAGAAGACAGAGGACCCAGTTTGGCTGCCTTCCAACCCTAAACCCTCATTGGGCCGGTGGCTCATCAATTACAGGATCCTGGAACCCAAAAGCAGAAAGAACCCCTCATTTGACAGATAATAACAACTGTAAGAGTAATAAGGCCCGGGGTGGAGGGGGTACATTTCCTGATACTGCACAGCTGGATGTCTGCTGACACCCAGCCCAGTGCTCTCCAGCGCCACCCTACCATGTGTTTCCCTGGCAGGCCTGGTAGTGACTGACTAACCCCAGTACCATTGTGCCCAGCTGGGCAGCTATCTCCCTTCTGAGGTAGTAGAATTCAGGGCAGTTCATTGGATGGTCAGAGGTCCCACTTGGCATCTTGGCAGGCAGCTGAATTCTTTTCAGCTCAGCTCTGGATGGATATGTTTGAGCTTGAGACCTGGCAGGAGCCCTGAGTTCTACTTCAGAGGGTCCAGCCAGCCCCATGGGCACCATGCTGTAAACTGAACTTGACCTCAGCCCGGGTTTATCCTTGGCAGAAATGTGACTTCCTTTTTCTGAGAGGGAAGGGGCTTAGCTGACTTATAAAGCAGGCTCAGAGGCCTGGGGGACATCAAACACATCGTGCGGAGCACTATTTGGATGAGATAAGTGTAAAGGAATTAGAAACACACAGGCCAGATTTCCCTCTGTTCAGGGCAGAGTGTGGCATGCGATGTATTGAGATGGAACTTGAGGTTAATTTAAGATGAAGCATTTGGGTAAACAGTCCAGGCACCTGACTGCGTGCCCAGATCTATGCCAGGCACAGGGCCAGAGGTAAATTAATGCAGTGTGTGGTTATCAAGCACACGCAGTGCCAGTCTCCGTGTCCGGCCCAAATCTCACCACCTTTCCTGACCTAGAGGAACTCAGCATGGAGAGGGACATGCAGCACANTTATCAAGCACACGCAGTGCCAGTCTCCGTGTCCGGCCCAAATCTCACCACCTTTCCTGACCTAGAGGAACTCAGCATGGAGAGGGACACGCAGCACGGTCCTGGACTCCTAGAAGGAACCTGGAGTTTACCCTGTCCAGTCCCCTAACCAGGCAGATCCAGCACTAGTCTCCACCAGATCTCTCCTCTGGGCAGCTCGAGTGATTCCAAACTCTCCCTCAAATAAGCACTCAAGCGTTTAAAGAAAGACGGATGGGCTAACTGGTTAGGTGGACATGTGCCGACGGGACTGCCAGAGCCAGTGTAGGTCAGACATCTGCAGCCTAAGAGCACTCATCTCTGAGGACCACCCACTGGCGAGGGTTTGAAATGAACTGAACTTGCTGTTTATATCCCAGAAGGCCTGAGGCACATTTATGGAAATTGAATGGCTGGGGCGCATGAATTCTCTCATGCTGGGCCGGAGAGCTTCATTCCATCAGCAGCCAATCATGCACTTGGAAATGATCTAGCCACCACTGCTGACATTTTTTCCAGCATGTTCTATGTGCTTAGCCTCATAAAATACCCCTGTTGTTCTGAGAGCATCATGTACACTTCTTAGGGCTTTCACATTTGACCTTGAAGTAGGCATAGAAGATGGATGGACCGAGACCCAGTAGGTTAAGTGGCCTGCCTAAGGTTAGGCAACAGGTTAGTGGTGGCCCTAGATCCACTGTCTCTCAGGACACCTGACTGAATGACAGGAGCTTTCTGGGGCTGGTCGGCACAGCCACTTCTAGTCTTTCTCCTCCAGGCTGTCCTGACACACCAGCAGCCAGGTGAAAGCAGGGACCGTGAAGGTGTGTGAGTCGGGCTACAAGGAGCTGCACAGGGCTGTGGAGGGCCCCTCCACCTCTGAGATTCAAAGATCTGGAGTCTAGGAGCATGGAAACTTGTACTGACCAGCAAGTTTGCCTTTGCCCTGAAAGGCCATTTGCCTCATGTTGGATGCTCTGTCATTTACCTCCTGGCCTCAACCAACTTGGGCAAACCTAGAGGCTTAGGACCCTGTCCTACCTGCTCAGTCTCTAGGCCGGAGCCATTGCCACAACAGATCCCAAGGAAAGGTCCTCCACCAAAAGGAAAGCTTATGAAAAACACTGAAGGACAAGAGAAGTTCTACCTGGGAATCGCAGCTTTGATAGTATCCTGCGCGCAGAGAACAGAACTGGAGCTGGTGATAGTGTTTCAGTGGCCATGGGATAAGAACCAAAGTCCTCAGCCCGGTATTCTAGACTCCATGATCTGGCCCTGCTGACCTTGCCAGCATATCTCATCTGTCCCACTCTGTGCCTGACCAGACTGAACCATATTTTTCATTTCTAGAATAAGTAGGATGTTTCACACATGCCACTTGCTAGGCCTGGAGACTCCCTTCTCTTACCCCTAACTGCTCATTTTTTGAGGATCAGCTCAGATGGCACCTCCTCCAGGAAGCCCCCTGTGGTTCCTTTGTGCTTTCTTAGCATCTATCACAACACCCACTGAGAATGTCTAATTGCACGCCTGCTCTCCTCCCGGCCTGTGAGCTCCTCGGTGGCAAGAGTCATATGAGCCCATATTTGTATCTTCATCTGACACAAAGATGGGACTCAACAGCTCTGTAGAAATGGAAGGAGAGAGAAAGGAAGGAAAGAAGGAGAGACACAGACGTTAGTTTTGCTAGTGGAATAGTTTCTACAAAGCCAAAATTGTCTGAGGATGGACAGGTGCCCCTGCAGGCGGTGAGTTTCCTGTCAGGAGAGGTGTGTGATCAGGGGCAGTAGGCACGTTGGCTGGAGAGAGATGGTAGAGAATTGAAGTCTTGGCAAGGGACTGGGGTAGATGACATCGAGAGTCCCTCCCGGCTGTGTAATGCTCAGGTTCTTTGAACATTGTTATTTTTCTAAAAATCCATCTAAGCAGCCAAAAAAATCACCTGGCTGGCTGTCTAAACCAATAAGGTTCAAGAATCAGTCCAACCGCACACCACAGTTCAACGGCCCAGCCGGGCCTGACGTGAATTGGCAGGCTGGCCGGCTGCCCTGGGTTGGGGGGCTTCGGGCTGTGGGCAGAGCTAGACTGGAACCCAGGGCCCTGGCCCCAACCCTGAGCTCAGTGCTTCCTTGCCCCCGACCCTTGGGGAGGGAAGTGAGGGGTCCTGAGCCCACTGAGCCTTACCTGGCCGTGTCCCAGGAGCATCAGCACACCCTCAGCTTCCCTCACCCTTTCTCTGACTGTGGCTCTCCCTTTCCAGAGATACTCTGAAGAGTCCTTCACTTTGCTGGGTGACCTTGGGCAAGTCCCTGCCCCTCTCCGAGCATCCATTTCCTCGTCTGTCAAACGGAGGCCTTGTTTCCTTTCTGGAGGGACGGGCAAATGCTGTGTGCAATCCATGAAGATGAGGCTCTGCCTCTCCCCAGGATCAGTGCTCAGCTTTCCTCCCAGGACCCACAGGCAGGCCCCCACAGGATTGGGAGCCTGTGGCAGGCAGGAGAGGTGACAGAGTAGCACACTTCAAAGGGCCCCTCCATCCCAAACCCCACTAGAGGGAAAGTGTGCTTTGAATGGGACCTTAGTCTAAGAAGTTTCCGGTGGGGCTTGCAGACATCTTGGGCCCCCATAGCTGGGGTGGCAGGGCCTGGCTCTTGGCCAAGGGAGATTCTGGCCCAGAACAGAGGAAGCCAGAGCCCCTGCCCCATTCCTGGGCCTCCAAGAGATCGCAGAAAGTCCTCACCAGACTCTCACTGTGTGACACACGCTTCAGATCTTAATGTATTTGAAAGTATTCATGATGCTGTTCTTTCAATCACCTCTTCCCCTCACCTCTGTGAATTATCATGAAGAGTTCTTTAAGAATATAATAGAAGACAAAGAAAGATGCTATTAATGTTATTTTGCCAAAAATATTTTTGTAGCATAATATATTAATAAAAGACATTATGAATTCAACAGGATGGCGTCTCTGTGTGCTGACGGCTCCCCTCCTGCAAATATTTGGGGAAATTACTTTTGTTGGGGGGGCCAAGACCTGAGGCAGTGGCGTGGAGAAGCTGGGACGGGCCCGTTTTCCATGCAAAAATTCAGGCAGGTTCTGGGAGGGTGGTTTGGGCAGCAGTCCAATGGATCAAGAGGCCTCATGCCCAGTGGGGTCCAAGTACCTCTCTCCAGCCAGAATGAGCTGCCACCAGCCCTGGGAAGAGGTGGATCCCCTGAGCCACAGACCTCAAACCTGGGGTTCACCCTCAGGGCCTCCCTTTCTCTTACTCCCTCACTCCCCAGGACCTTCTGATTCTTCCTCACCCTTTCTCCTCTCCCCACTGCTCCAGCCCAGCCCAGACCTCCTCACCTTCCTCTGAACCACTGCCACCTACAGCTATGTCTCCTCTGGTCCACTCTCCCCCCTGCGGCCTAAGTGAGTTCCATAAACCGCAAAAATGATCACGTACTTCCCCTGCTTTTCAACCACTAATGAGGGGGCACCAGCATCTCTGATGGTTGCCTTCCATGGGACTTGGGGGAGCAGGGACAGGTCACTGGGAAGTTTGGAGTGGGAGAGGTGACTGCCTTCTGAAACCCCAGAGCCTTCGCCAGAGGCAGGTTTTTGGCCTCAGTCAGTGAGCTCTTGCTAGCTCCTTCTAAGAGTAACGTGGGCTGCGTGTGGTGGGCCCAATCCTCAGATAAAGGTAATAATGCAACATTTATTGAGCATTCATTATGTACGACAAGGTTCTAAGCATTTATAAGTCTTAAATCATTTCATTCTCACACCTACTCCTGCTATATCTATTTTACAGATAAAGTAACTGAGACACAGGGTCCTTAAGTAACTTGACCAGATCACACAGCTTGTAAATGCTGGAGCCATGACTGGAATCTAAGTAGTTATGCTCCAAACCCATTTTCTTAACTTTAACTCAGCAATGCTGTGCTGTCCTATGTAGGCTGTGGCTGGTGAGGGCAGGGAAGCATCCAAATCCCCATTTCACAGGCCAGGTGGTCAGGACCCATCCCAGGCCCAAGGCAACGGAGGTCTTGAAGCCTGCCACCCAGACCTCTGTCCCACCCACCAACTCTTGACGAGGGAACTGCAGGGAGCCCAGCCATGATGGTCTCAGGGTTGACATCAGCGGTGTGAGGATTCCTGCTGTGGCCCGTGACCCCTGTGTTCTCTGGGATGACTCTCCAACTAACAGCCATCCAGCCAGGGCAGAAAGGGCAGATTTTCACAGCCAGGTTCACATGGGGTGAAGCAGAGGTGTTGAATTCAACGACAGGACAAGAAGATCACAAGAGTATAAGTCCCAGGGGATCATGAGCTCTGAGAGGGCTTGGACCCCAGCCACGGAGCTGGGGGTCCAAGATGATCTTACTCAGGTATGTTGAAACAGAAACGCCCTGGCCATCTGAGCTGCAGGTGGACAGAGATAACAAGCTAATACCTGCCAGCCTTGGGCTGCCATGAGCTAAGGGATACAGGAGCTCCAGAGCTTACTGAGTCTGCAGGAAGACCTCCCCCCCCCCTTCACTACCTTCCACGGCTGCCAAGGCAGAGGGAACACCCTGGCCTGGCTGAGTGGCAGGATCCAGGCTGGGGCAGGCTGGGC